ATGTAAGATGTGATGATGTGGCCACCGGCCAACCACCCCAGCAGAGCCCCACCCCACCCATGATGCTGGTGATGCTGTTGTCGTCGCAAGTGAGTGGTGGACCACTTGATAACCCCCCGAGAAATAACATCCTTTTTTGCAACTGGTGCTGCCACACACCGCATGCCGCAGGCAGGCGCCACTGTAGCGGCGGTGGCCACGCGCCGTCCGAAGCGCTGGGCGGATCTCATCGCCTTCGCCAAGGGCACGCCAGGGACGCTGCTGGTGCCGGTGACTGTGGCAGACCGGTGAAGGTCAGGTGCTGGTGATTTCATCGTGTCACGTGAATCCCTCCAAAAAACGTCTTTCTTTTGGCCGAGAGAGTTACCACGACGATAAGCAAGTGGCAGAGAGAGGGAGAGTCGGGGGCGTAAGATAAAAGATGCAATATATTTTGTCCAATTGTGTTTGTATTTGGGAACGCTGCCCGGGTTTCTGATTTGGCAAAGCTGACCAAAGGGATGTGAAGCATTGGGAGCTCGGATCATTCTGTGTGATCTTAATTGTAATGCACCAGCTGCATGGCCCAGATGTTTTTAACGGGTTCTCAGCCTGTCAGGCAACCAGGAACCGCTGAACGATTTTGGGATTTCCTTCGACAAGTCCGAAAGCGACACTTCTGCCAGAGCTTTCCGGTGGTCCCAAGGTGAAAGCCGGGGAGAAGGTGGAGAGCGACGAGGCAGTGGTTGTCGATGGGTTCCCGGCACTTTGCACCTGTTGCTTTCGTCGCTAAAAGGAATAGGTTCCTCATAGGCAGGATGACCGCTAAGCTGCCAAACTTGAAAAGGCGGCCAGCACATGCCAACACAAAAGTATACGCCTTGAAACCAGTCCAACCATCCGCAACCGGTCAAATTCCAAACACTTCATTGTTTCTTATTGTTTCCGGGTCGTGCATCCGTGAAACAATCCAAGAGGCGTTTCTTGCTGTGGCCTTTCTATTAAAAAAACTTTACCGAAACATCAAAAGCACTGAACCATAGAGGGTGCTTCAGAAGCCTTCCACAGCATGCTTCTACTTGTCTGATCATCCACTTGCACCAGGACCTGAGCGCAGTTTGTGGCGCTGACCTTTTGGCAGAGCTGCCGCAGGTCCTCGAGTGGTTGCTGCGCTGCGGGCGCGAGGCCACTGGACAGGCGCGCAGACAGCAGCGCACGCTGCGCGGAGTTCGGTGGGGGGGATGGCAATGGGCTAACACACAGAGTTGCTGGGAAATACCGTGAAGCTTCATGAAACTTCCAGTTTTTGATGCTGACTAGCACCTTCACGACCCGAGTCCCACGCTTGGCACAGCTAGAGTACTTCATGGTTGGTCAACTAGCTTCTCCCTTGTGACAAGGCATTCATGAAGCTTCAACCTCACTCAAGCCCTGACGAGGTGAGAACAAGAATCCAGGTCAATGACCTCATTTGACTGGACGTGGTCATATAAAAAAGGGACTTAAGACCAGGTTTTACTGGGCTTGTGGACTTGTAGGGTAACATTTTAGGATCCCAGGAGCCTTGGTCACTGGAATTGATAATTGTTGGTCCGAAGGAGACGACTCGTTTGAGAGAACCACCCTTGAACCAGTGAAGACACGATTTTGCCGACTTTTTGGGCGACCTTTTAATCTTAATTACCACGAAAACACGTTGTTCACAGAAGGCTCACCAAAGGTGCCGTGGAGCAGTAGAAGGAGCTTTTGGGATGAAACAAACCATTCACGCGACGAAACGCCCCGAAGCAGGTGACCTTGGGCACCTATTTGTATGCGGATGGTGAGGCCAATGCCACCTGAACGGCACCATGTGGCTTTTGTCTTGTTCTTTGGTAACAGATTTGACCATGAAGCAGAGAGTGCAGCTGTACATCTCCTTGTTGATTCAGCAACTTCTTCCCCACTCCACCTGACAAACTTTCGATATGAAGAGGTTTAGGATCCATGCTGCGGATGGACCTGTGTGTCCACAGTGGCGTTCACGTCATGTCACGTCCCAGCCGTGTTGGGACCGTCACGTTCCAGGGCGGACGTGTTGGGAACGTTCCGTGAGGTGGAACTGGCTTTACGATCCAAATATGGATAGTTTTGTATACAGGCATCCCCAAACGTAAACTGCAACAGCGTTTGGAAAGTCACACAGTTTTGTGCCATCATGCAGCACGCTGTGCTGGTGTGTGTAGGTCATCTGGCAAGCTTCGGAAATTAATACGGTAGTGATCGGTAGTGTTTGTTTGTTTTTTTGGCAGATCCTTTGAAGTTGGCATACGTTGGAACAACTCAAGCAGACTGAGCGTAGGTAGCTATTGTAGTCGTTGTTGATAGCCAGCCCTGCTTACAAAATCCAGCTTGAGTAAAACTCCCCAGCTTGCAGCTGTGATGAACCAAGGTGCGCCTCACAGCCGCGGCCGACAGCATCGTGGAGGCGGTGAGATCGTTGGAGAAAGAGATGCTCGTTGATCATGGGGTCGGTGGTGAAGCACCGTACCTAATAGCAATGGCCTCCTACCTAAGAGCAACGGCCTCCAACCTAATAGAATAAGACTGACTTGCGAGCACACCTGGGCGCTTCAAGGTTCAGAGCTCTTCCATCCCGAGAGTGATTTGCCTCCAGTGGGTGAGGGGCCTGATTGAGATTCCGAGTGTATACGTGCGAACTGTCACGCGGTGCCTTAAGGATCCGCAAGGTTAATGCATGTTCTTACGATTGGATGACAAGCGGTGCCACAGTATGCCGCTATTCCAGCAACTGCAGGGTCATAGTCATAGGGGTATAGGGTTAGAGCCAACCTGAAACCATGGACAACGGGTGCGGCAACCAATTTTCAGACCCTCCTCATCCCAAGCGGCAATCATCACGCAGCTCAGGAAGGTGAGCTTCGCATACTTGGCAGCTTGGTGTTGCTGTAGACGGTGGGCCCCCCAATATCATGTTTAGCTGTGTAAAGACCTAAAGAATTTGGGAACATTCAGACAAACATGATTTGAAGGCGAATGCGTTCATGCCTATCGTTTGCCAAGTGTGCCACAACACATAATATATGTAATATATATATATATAACATTATATAACTATATATATATATTATATTTGCATTCCTGCCGGCACTGGATGTTCTTTGAGTTATCAACCCTCAAAATCTCGAATCTTATTCTTGGCGGACAGTGGAGCTCGGGTGCAGAATATGGTGAAATACGTTGAGCATATTTGAGCAAGAATCCGACATCCTTATTCAACATGCAGAAGATAAAACTAGAGAACTACACGGTCCAAAAAAAAACAAACACGTTCAATACATTTGGACATGGAAAATGGGACCAGTGTGAATTCGGCTGGTCTAAGTGAGAATCGAAAAGAGCCGAAAGAGCAATCCCAAACCTCGGTTTTCGACACTCGTGGTATGGAAGGCGACTTTTTGGGACACCAAAAGATCACGACTCATTGATCCCCCAAAAAAGACAGACCAAAAAAACATCGCTTTTGGTTTCTTCACAGAGCCGGTGTGGTCTAGCCAGCCGTGTGGTCGTCGGCACGGCGTCGCCCTCGTTCGCCTTGTCTTGGCCGAGTCCAGCTGCTCCACCTCCACAGCCATCCCAGAGGAGGCCCAACTGAGTGAAGGAGTGAAGGATTCGACTCTTTGCCGTGGAGGATTTGGCACGGAAAAAAGCACCAAAACGATCTTTGAGAACATGGATGAAATGGCGAGGAGCCATTTTGATGGGCTTTTTGGTTGGGTCAGCCCAACAATTCCTTCTGTTCGAGGGCAGAGGGCAGATCCCAAAGATCACCAAACATGCACAAATGGACCCCCCATGATCCCCATGATGCATGCCCCGTGCAAGCGCAGCACGTCTCTATCAAAGCATGCACGTCGCCTCTTGTTCGTTTTGCTTTCGCGGCCACCTGACAGGCCGTCCAAGCGCAGGAAGCGAATTTCCAAACGGCCGGCCGATGGGCAGCGATGTTCGGTGAGAGACGCTTGGAAGTGAGATCCGGAGCGGAAATCCGAACGAGCACAGGTGGTTTGGAGGTGCAGTTGGATCTTATTGAGCGATGGTTCCGATGTGTGCAGATGGTCGGAATGGATAGGAACAGGTCTGAAACCCTTCTAGCTGAAGATCCCGTGGGCGCCACCCCGCCACACCTAATTAGTTTGGACAAGTTTGCAACGACTGCACAGCGCTGGCAGGCCAATCGGTACAGTTCATGCTACACTTTTTGGCATGCAGCAAAGCCATAGAATCTAGACTTGGAATGGACGCCCTGATCCTACTTTTGGAGGAACAATATACAGTGGTTTCAGAGTAGATGGCGCAATCCCCAAAAGGTGGTTTATGAGGACCGCGTTATAAAATACATCTTTGGTTTTGTGCCATCTACTCTGAAACCACTGTTATAATGTGGTGCACCTTAGCTTTGAGGAAAAGCATATCCCGAGGACACAGCTGCAAAAAGCTGGATGGCAATCGCTTCTTCCTCAGCGCTTTCGAAGTACTGCAAGGGCCCAACTATGCGTTGGCGCAGATGATGCGCCTCTCGACTAAGTGCTTCTGACCTCCGGAGACGAGGGTGGTTTGTTCGGACGAGGGTGGTCGTCAGGGAGATGTCAAGGTTGCACTACCCATGGGAGTACCGGGCATGCTTGTTGTGGATTCTTGGTGGTGTCGGTGCCTGTGTTTGATCAAGGCTAACACCCTTGTAGCTCAGTTGAAAAAGCTAGAAGTTTTTAATATTTGTGTAAGAGATCTTGACTTTTGGCGCGAGAGATTAATTTGATCTTGACGCGAAAGACTTTCGGTGTCGTGCTTGCTTAGCAGTCACTGTCCTTTGCTAGGACAATGGCGTGCCGCCCTCTTGCACCTTGAAGGCTTTCAAGCACCTTGGCTAAAGGCGGAGAGTGGTAGGAGCTTCAAGGGGGTGGCAGGGCCACCTGCTGCCATTGGCGATCAATCGCGATCAATCATTTCCAACTTGATGTTTATTGTCCTCGCTCCGGCTCCCAAACATGGAAGTGAGCGGATGTGAACGGATTGCCCGCAAGAAACCAACTTAGACATTGTGACTTCCTGAGCCCAAACATAGGGCTTTTCACGTCACACATCATGCGCCCTTTGTCCCAAAATACCTCCAGATCATAATAGATCACACAGTTCTCCAACACCCGGCCGGGCGAGAAACCGGACGTCCCGGACGGTAAACCGGATCGATCGATCTCCAGGTTTCAGCACCCATGGCGCCCATCTGCCGTACGGAGAGTGTGGTTCACAATGCGACCATGGCCGTCTTGCTGGAGGGCCTGGCCACTGGGCGCATACAGGGCAGTCCCTGTTGTTTGGAATATAGGGAAGATGAGGAGGAGGAATTTTCCATGAGCCCTTCGCCACTTAGCGATGGGTGGAGGCCATCGCTACTAGGAAGCAATACATGCTTATACAATCTTATGCATGCTTATTATGCATGCTTATCTTATTATGCATGCTTATTATGCATGCTTATTATGATCCCCCTCAGCTTGTTGAGCTTCTTTTCTAAGAGTAAGGAGGACCATGGCTGTGGCGGAAGTTGGGGGTAGACCCCGCAGGCGTTGGGCTTGCTTTGTGGTCTGTTTGGACACGAGGGGACGGCCGGATTGGATACCAGTGAGCCGGGAGAAGAGCTGTCGGAATTGCAAGTGTCCAAACAAGAGATCCAAGCAAAAGGTCAGACCAGGACCGCTCGGTGCATGAATTCAGTGATTTGTCACCTTCACCTTAAGATTCTAGTGCAGATGTTTCAAAAAGAAAAGAAAAATGGTTCACACTCCAGACTCTGAGCAACACCGTTGCCATCCAACTACCTTCCATTTCGATCCCCACCCCAGCCCACCCGAAGCGCACGAACTCCGTGCACCGCTTCGCCAAGGCCCACTTCCCCCCGCAGGAGAGCTACGACGCGCCCACCGGGCGTCAGGCGATGCTGGCGATTCTGCTCTCCGATTTGGCGGTGCTGCCCTCAGAGCGTTTGAAGTCGTCGAAGTCGGGGCATGGAGGTGGAGAGAAAGAGAGGCGGACGGAACTTGTGTCATGACACGTGTTGCGTGACGGAACTTGCAAGAGTCACTCTACCATGAAGGGCCGGAAGCTTTGTGAAGTACAAAATTGATTGGATGTGGATTGGGGATTTTTTGATGTTCCAACTTGGGAATGCTTGTTTTTTTGGGGGGGCTTGTGTGAGCAGCCCAACCAATTTATGCACCCAAGAGGGTTTCAAGTGGATGAGCTGAGGTTCAGGGTGGAGGAGACAGTTAAATGTCTATAGGTGCGTCAGAACTAGAATTTCATGCCTTGGTTGAAAGGAGCCGGCGCCGTTCTGCACAGGAGCCGGCACCCAAACTGAGCAATCCACTGTTGATCGTGACCCGAAAGGCTTTTCACTCGGGGAACCTCGGCCGGGACGGAGCGAGCGTCTTTAGACAGACCAAAACGAGACATCCCAGAAATATCTGTTTATAGTCACTCACATGTGTCATTGGCATTGGTTGATTGGTTGTTGGGAAGGTGGTGTTCCTCTACAACGAGGGGTTTACCACTCGGGCTTTTGCAGGCAATGGGATGTCAAATTCATTTGGGTGTCAGTCTTCAAGGTCTTCATCGCCTTGATTTTTTTCACCCATCGGCACAAAAATGTTTAAGATGAAGTCTTGAAGGCAAAGCTAAGAGGATTAAGGGGCTGTGCTGGTTACAAAAGTATTTGGGACGTTCATGAATTAGCACGCCATTTCAAAGTACAATAACAATTACCGTACACAATATTGAGTACTATCTTGAAGCAATTTTAAATGTGTGTTGTTTTTGATGATGTTTTCAGAGGTTGTAGAGGTTGTGCACATGCTGATGCACATTGTGCTTCTCACATGCGAGTTGGAACGGTTCAATTCTTTAATTCCACCGAGCAGTTCGCTATCTACTTATGGTTCCTGTTCCAGAGCAGTTCGCTATCTATCTTATCTATCTTATCTATCTATCCTATCTATCTTATCTATCTTACTTTATCTATCTTATCTAGCTTATCTATCATATCTATCTAATCTATCTAGTCTATCTAATCTATCTATATAATCTATCTAATTTATCTATCTATCTATCTCTATCTATCTATCTATCTATCTATCTATCTATCTATCTATCTATCTATCTATCTATCTATCTATCTCTCTATCTCTCTTTTTTTATGTATCTCTATCTATCTCTATCTATCTATCTATCTATCTATCCACATCGACGCCGAGAAGAATCCAATCACACACTGTGACACGCCTAGTTGTGGGCACTTCGAGTCCAAAGACCGCTCCGGACCCTCCCCATCCGCACTGTCCCTCCACTCTTCCTCAGGATTTGGCGCACGCCCTTTGTGATGGCCTCGTTGGGAAAGACCACCTGGTTCTTGGGGAAAGTCGCGCCCAAGCGTGTCGCAGCCTGATTGGCAGCCTGATTCGCGCGGCGCACCAAGAAAGTAGTTGCCTTGGGGTGTCACAAGTACGCGGTAAGCACGGATGGATCTGAGCCCCAAATGCACATGGACCTGCAGCAATATGCAACCAATAATTATGCACACATTCAAAAACCTATACATATAATCACAAGAGAGCAAGCGACCAGTTATACAATGATGCATGCTAATTTGCACCTGCTATGCAACGTGCTATGGATGCACCAGCTATCAGTGCTATAAATCACCCATTCAGCAGTTACGGTATGTTACTGTGTTGGACTGCCACCTGCAACATGTGCAGCTCGGAGTTGCTTTCGGTCTCCGATTGGGCGGCCAGAAGAGCCGAGACCGTCCTCGACGGGTGACGGGTCGAACAAAGAGTCGATGTGGTCTCCGGTTTCTTTGGTTTCTTCGATGTGGCTCAGTGAATGGATGAACCAGGAGTTATTTCCTTTTGAGTGGGAATGTGATTCTGTTGGCTTAGTGGAGGTGAATGGATTGTGAAATCAGCCAAGTGGAACTGATGGTTCCTTGGAGCAAACCAGGTGCGGTGACCTTTTTGGCGAAGAAGTGGTCAGTACATTTGAGGAATTTCCGGCACTTTGTAACTAGTACGTAGGTACTTCTTTTGTTTGGAGTGGGGGTGACCTTTTTTGGGGCTCGTGGATTGGAAGCCCCATGTATTCAGGCAGACCTTGGGGCCAAAGAGAGACGCGAGTTGTGTGCTCATCAAGGTGCAGTTGTGTAGAGCTTACAGATGTGCACCAGGGTCTTTTTCCGAAAGAACAGGACGATTCCCAGCACCACGGAAGGGGCAGCACCACGGAAGGGGGTGTTATTGGATGGAACAATCTACATTACATTACTGTAGTCAGGGGGTGTCCGCGAACCACCCCATGTTTAACTCTGTCATATTCTGTCTAAGCCGTCCTCGTTGATGGATTGTTTGTGGCCCTGGGATGGGAAACGCACCAGTGCTGCAGCTGTGCACCGATTTGCAGCAGACCTGCAAGCCATTGCAAACCCGTCCCAGGCACAATGGGTAGACTGGTCTATTTCCCTTCTTCCAGGGGTTCTTTGGGAGGTCTCCTATTTTGTATAGCATATTTTAGTGCACACTCAAGTCTTGGAAACCCCAACTGCTTTGCAGGAGAGGGAGGAGTACATGGCGGCGATGATGAATTGTGTTGAGACGTTCTTCAATGGGTTGGCTGCTGAGTTGACTTTGCAGGGTTGCGCTGGCCAACAACCTCCAACAACGGCTGGAACTACGGGGGCGTATATAATCCAATCTTTATAAGATTTGAAACGATGACCTAAATTGAGGTATATATTGTTATTTATCCATGTATGTATCTATCTATTTATCTATCTATCTATCTTTCTGTATTGTTCTTTCTTTCTTTCTTTTCTATCTTATTTATCTAAAAATCTAATATATCTTATCAATCTATCGATCTATCTATCTATCTATCCATCCATCCATCCATCCATCTATCTGTATTGAGAATAACTATCAGATCCTGCCTGGAACCTTAGAATCACTTTACTCGGATCACGACGAGTGGACGATGTTGGCAACGGCCGTGGCCTTTTGTTTTGGCGCGAGGCCCTATCAAGCGTGCATCGCGAAAGATGAGTTTGCAGGCATGAGCAGGGTGTGATCCTGTGCCCAAGTGTGCTTTTGAAGTTGTCCTCTACTCAAGACTTGTTGAAAAAGTCTCCGTGGGATTGAGATCAAGAGTCTAGTGTGTGATTAAGACTTTGAGTTGACATGCCTTGGGATGCCTTGATGGGATGCTTCATGGTGACGACGTTGAAGTGCTCAAACTTTGAAGAGGCATGCACAAAACCGTCAACTTCCCCCAACCTCTTTTAATCACAACCGCCCAGAGAGGGATTCAGGAGATGATGTCCTCTACAAAGTGTTGCTTCCAGCCTTCCCCATTCCTTACCAATTACTATCACTATGCTGCCGCAAGGACGGTAAAAGATGGTAAAAAGCAGAGTTGCAGCTCTTTGGTCCTTGGTAGGTTCCTTGACATGATGTTCATTCTGGTCGCGTCACATGCCCAATGAATGAAACAGACCGAATGGTCCGCGGTGCGCACCGTCGACCGACGCATCGCCCTCTCCATCCAGGGACTCTCTTTGGCTACCCGGCCGTTTCACGAACGCCGATGGCGATTTTCACGAACTGCCATGCAGGTTCATGCGGCCACTGGCTTGTTGATTTAGTGTTTGTTCAACATTTGGGAATGCCAGTGGCACTAACTTGGAACTCGGGGGTCGAGGTTATCTACTTTTGAGGTTTACCTGTGTACATCTGTGTACGCATTACACTTTCAAAGAAGTAAGGTCTGCTAGTTTTTCCTGCAAGGTCCGCTCAAGGTATTGATGATTTCCAATGAGCGATCTCTCACATCCCAGCTGCCCGTGCTAGCATCTCGGCTGCCCGCTCTTCTTCGTTGCGTCTTCTGAACTCTTGGCGCAGGTGTTCTGTGATTTGAGAAAGCGAGGCGGTGTTCGCTGTCCGTGTCCGTAAGTTTGACTATTTTGCCCACCTACGCTAGGGCCCCGGTAGGGTTGGTCGAAACCTGAGTTGCCCACGCGCCCTCTGTCAGGTGAACAGCTGCAAGTGATTGGCCAGAAGTACTTGCGTCGTCAGGAGCCCAGTAAGGTCAAGTGTGATCAAAGTGGATGAGACGACCCCCATGGCCTTTTAGATTATTTCAACGTGAATCTGCTGATTCCCTAGGATGCGAACATGTCCCAGCAGATGGGGTCATGTGAGGTAGCGAATAGAATATTTTGGGATATTTTGGGAGGTCGTACTTTGGGCTGCAGAATGGCATGTGTGGAAAAGTGCCCTGAGGCTTCCAAATGCTTGAGAAGAGCCGGCCTTGAGCTCAGCGAGCTGCGCGTAGCACGGGATTTCACTGAAAAGTGCATAACAAAGAGCATATACCAGGAGTCCCGAAAAATATCAAAAGTGGACACGTACCAGGACCTTCCGAGAGGTGTCAATAAATATATATATATATATAGCCTCTTTGAGGTTAAGGGGTGTCCAAAACCACCTGTTGGACAGAATTATTTTGGAGTTGATTGATTATATACTGTATTTGTTTTGATATAATTAACTTAATTGTTCCGGTGCCCTTTGAGAATACACATGTCCTTCAGACTTCTCACTTTTTACCTGCCAAATTTGATGAGCTCGGTTCTTGTGTTGTTCTCAGCAAGGAAAACATGCTGAGCAAAGAACGCATGCGGAGATCCTGCATTTTGTGAGGTTACCTTTCTTTTATATTCAGAAAGCAGCAATGTATAAGACTCCAAGAAAATGGGTCCCGTATGATTCCTTTTTGATGTACATTCCTTGTTGATGTACCAACTTCAACCAGATCTCCCCTTTTGCATCCCGCAGCTCGCTCCGCTTTCTCGCAGGGTGCGTGAGCTGCTTGCTCCGGGCAGCCTGGAGATCATGTCCATCGCCACCTACCGTGTGATCACGGCCATGGGTGGGAAGGCACCCAAGCCCGCCTTACCGTGCGCCTCTTCTCACCGCGTGTTTTTTGCGACCAATGTATAACAGCAGGGCTCCGGAGTGACGTGGCCGTAGATTTTTGGGCCGCAGCCACGGTGGATGTTTAATTCGACATGTTGAAAGTTTCAGAGGTATGTGTTTGATATGTTTGTGAACCCGAACAGAAAACTTTTTGAGCCACCGCCATCAGCTAACAGTAACGGTTAACAAGAAGTTGGGGTTATATAGAGACCAGTTACTGTATGCTGTCGCAACAGGAATGTATGATAAATGTTGAAGCAGCTTGGGTCACCGAGTGACTCAGCACCCTTTGGAATCTTTTGGACCTGTAGAAATCAGCTGCTGAATATCATCGGAGTCCTGAGGAACTGACTGACCGAATTTGTGGATTCCATCGATGGTGAATATGCTGGATCTCCATTGGTCAATTTGTCTCGAACGGTCAATCTGCCTGCAATCCGGTCACTTGTTTCAAAACGAAAAGATTGCCGTTGGGACACCTGGGGATGGAGGGCAAGGAGTCGGGACACCGAGGGAGCGGACACTGCTCCAGGCTGATGCGCTGACTCTGCAGGAGGTGAAGCATGAGAATTCGGAGCATCAGGCTGCAGTTGGAAGCGCTTTTGAGCGGCCGCGGGCACGTGGGCAGATGGTTGTTTATTGGTGCGGTGGGGGAGGGCGCGAGTACTGGATGAGAATTACACATGGCTACTGTCCACAGTTTCATTCTCAAAAGATGCTCCATACAAAATTACCAGTGCTTGAGACATGCAGGGTTGAACCGGCTTCTTTTTGTTTTGTGAGGAATGCATTGGAGACCCCTCCTTAGTGGGACAGATTCACACACAACCTTTGAACGTGGTTGTTAAAGAATGTTAAAGAAGGGATCGTTACTCGCATGGGAGTTGTTCCAAAAGGAGAGGGTTGGGTAGTGCGTGGACGAGACTGCCATCCCAAGGTGGTGTGCCTTGGTCGGGTACAGTGGGCCTGGATATTGGGATGCGTTTGTCATGCCATTTTGGACATTTCAGCCAAAGATGGTTGGAGTATACCGATGGCATTGAATTCTAGGGACCGCCGTTTTTCCTTCCTAAACCCACTGTCGCTAGGAGAAAGTGCAATTTCACCCCTTTTCAACGACACACCAGGCGGCTGGCATGTCTCCGGATCAGGCACGGAGCAGAGTCTGAATTTCAATGAGAGCTTGGCCCCGATTTGAAGTATTATAAGTATTACAGCCAAGCTAGAAAATGATAAGTATTGCAGCCAAGCTAGAAAATTTGAAGGTTGTCAAACGTGTGTGGCTGCAAGACTTGTTCTCGACACCAACCTGTGCACATTGTTTGCATTGTCACATTCCTCAGCGTGACTACCGTGTACTGTGACCACTTGGATGGATTTTCACAAACACCATGTGTCAGATCATTCAATTAATTCCATCCGACATCACCTGGCTTTTTATGTCCCAGAAACGGAAACATGATGAGAACATCCCTGGAACATCGGGCTTCATCGGGCTTCCCATGAACTCTCTGTTTTTTTCCTCAGGCAGCTCAGTCTGAGATGGATGCCTTTGACCGATGTTGGGGGCCTTTTCCCCTGCAGGTCCTGTGGCAAAAGCTCCTCGACACCTTGCGCCGTGACGAGCGCTGTCGCGAGCGCCGCGAACGCGCGGAGGACGCGCTGGGCAAGGCGAGTGCTGGGCGCCTGTGGGTCGGGTTGGAGGCCATCGCTAGTATGTATCATCACATTGATCAGGTGTTTTTAAAGTGTGGCCATGCAATTGGAGGTACTGCACGTGTAATGTAATTCATCAGTCATGTATCCTTCATTTGGCCGAACTTAGCCAATACATTTACACTCCGAGTCACTAACGTGGGAGTGCAAAACCACATAGTTTCTGGAGGAAAATGGTCATGCAACGGGTCAGGGAGTTAAGACATGACATGTTTACATACACAATTCCTCAAGACTGTTGACTGTTAACCCACTTTTCCCCTTACCGCGGTATGGGCCCGCCGCCCTTGTTCATGGACAATGACTGGAGTAGAGGCCCAGACAGATTGTATAGCCAACACCATCCACTCTCACAGAGGCATTTAGATTTGATAGATGGGTGATGGGTTTCAAATTCTATAGACGAATCCTGTGCAGGTCTTGCTTTCCGCCAGCGCTTTGCGTTGGAGTGTCGTGGCAGGCGTTCTTGACGGTCTCCGAAGACACGGATCCCGAGTATCCGCCCTACCTGAAGAGCCTTAATGCTGAATCGCCTGGGGCCTCGATACCAGAAACCCTGGACCCATCGCCGATTCAATACACTAAAAATAGATTCAAGACACCTGGGATGTGTGAATGAAGGCTCGTGTTGGAGCACCTCAGTCTGCACTCCCTTTGTTGCTTGTGGTCGGTTTTGGAGCGGGTCAACAGGACCCGTCCTGGGTCCTCGCTGGTGGCACTGTCGGTTGGTCTGGAGACCTCTCAGGTCCACACAGGATTTCCGCAGGCATGGCATCACGGCTCCTGGGCAGATCGGGCGGATTTTTTCTGTTTTTTGTTCGTCACATGGGTTTGGTGATGTTTGGTGTTTGATTGGACATGAAATGAACATGGTTTGGTGTTTGGGAGCATGGAGGGTTGGTTGGCTGAGTTGCTTCGCAGTTGTCAGCTGTTTTCCTGGCTTCGCGCTTTGGAGATCTTTGGAGTTTAGGGTGTGCTGGCACATGCAGGTAAACCGCAAACGCGGTTGAAGACCAGATCAATGCACCAGGTGAGAAGATGACAGTATGATTATGATTATATTACATATTATTACTGAAGAGACTGTTTATGATAACCTGTTCGCGAAGGATGTATTTGTGTCCTCTCTATTGCTTGTTTCATACTGCTTGTTTGCAGAAGATACCGACACTCTATCATTCTGGTGTAGTAACCTGAAAAGCCACCAAGGCCCTGCGTATTTTGGAAACCAAATTGGTTTCTTTTTGTCTTAGCAACAGCCAAGCGCAAGTGAGGATTACGTATCAGTGGTTGTCCATCACATCATGTTACCTGTGGATCCTGCTACATTCAGCTCCATGTTCAAAAATGGGGCTGCTTCCTTGTAACACCACTTGTTCAAAAGTAGGACGCCACGATCTGCACGACTGGCCCCAACAAACCCTAGGTACAAGATGCGATTGCCCGCTTGGTCCAGCACTGCTTAGACCTCAGCTTGGCGATGTCATGGATTGGACAACATGTGGGGCCCGGGGTGACCAATGGGCACAACAGACTGATTTGCCTACTGCATGAATTATGTAAATTGTATATATATAAACCAAGAACAGACCGCGCAAAAGATACAACACCAGTTTGCAAAAGGATTTGCCTCGTCTCAGCCGGACAGCAGGGAGTCGGAAAACATCGACCATCGACCGTCCGGACGCCGACCGGGCGAACGGAAACCGGTGCTAGGCGAAGCAAATCTGCAAGACCTGTCAAGCCTACGGCGTACCATGAGGCGATCACCGATCGGTCACAGATGGGATCGGTGACGCAAGAAGCAGGTCGAGAAATGTATAGTTATAAGGTGTCTACTACGCCAGAAGCCTGCAAGGCCAAGAACTGACCATTTTGTATAGGTTGTTGCCTTTGGCTTCTGGCATGCGACACCCATGACAAGACACTGCTTCAGCAAGTGAAAAAAAGTTGGTGGTGAATCTCGGTCCAGTTCGTGTGCCGTTTGGGGTGACTGTGCCAGGATCCTGCTCGCGATGATCCGAGTGGTGCGAGACGCCAGTGGACTCTGGACGGTCGCGTTGCGGGAGATGGACTATCTCCCGCCAGAGCGAAGAAGGACAGACTGAGACGGATCAGAGATGCTGAAGGTAGGAATATGTTCAGTTGGAGTATGCAAGTGTTTGGTGACATCATAATAAATAACAAACAGACTAGACTCAATAATGATACACAAGTGGATCATAGTGGATCCCTTCTAAAAATCATTAAGCATCTACGGGAGTGTTTCTAATTATAAATCTATGTTCCACTTCCTCCCGGGCAGGAAGCGGTTGGTTGAGGGCAGCGTTCAAGACGACCAATTGATGGATGTGCTCCGAGTGCTCCTTTGCAAAGAGAGAATGTCAACCAGAATTCATGCTTATCCTGGTTGTTTCGGCCCAACAAAATTCAACTAAAGACCTGTTGGAGTGATTTGGAGAGTACGTGGAGCTATGGATTTGCCTGCTAATCCTTATCCCTAACGATCGCCAGCTCTCGCGTTTTCACTAGAAGCCTTAAGCGCCCTGACTGGCACGGTTTGGCTGTTTTTTGCCCAGGGCCGTCGCGGTGAGCTGCAACGTGAGGATTTGCAGTTCGGGAAGATCCAGGTGGCTCAACGCACGCGCCGACCCCACACGCTCGCTCGCGCTGGTGTGTGCCGATCACAACGCAGGTCTGGCAGAAGAGGAGGTCTCACAGGAGGGAGACTAAATGGGGTGGTTGGTGTGAAGATATCGGCAACATCTTGATTGAGAAAACCGTACTGCAATTTCATGCTTCTTTCAGCTCACAAAAGGCTGGTGGGTGATTTGGGACCCGCAATGTCAATGATATATATGTACTGTATATATATATATAGTTTAATTATGTTTAATTGCTGTATATGTTGTACAAGTATGCGTTTTTGTTTCTCCGTCGCCTGCCATCGCGGCGATTATGGCTGCTTCCAATGTGGCAAACCTCCTTGGCAAACCTCCTTGGCAAACCTCCTAGGATCCCTAGCAATCCACACCGTAGGTGACCCCCATGCATCGTGGGGACACCCCAGGACCTGGCAACTTGTCCCCTCAGATCCCCAAACCACCACACTTCCTTCAGGTGGTTTTCTCCAAAGCTGGCGTCAGCAAACTTCTTGTGAAGGTACGATCTCCGACTTCGGGCCGCGTCACGACTCTCACGACCATTTTCGAGTCACGACCGTTCGAACACCTGTAGCCGGTAGCCCTCCCACGTTTTGCGCTGGCTGATGAATTGGCAACAGTGGCTGAATGAATGGTGGGCTGTTGGTCAGAAAAGTTTGGAAGAGGATTTCGATGGATTTAGTTTGTATTTACATGTAGTGATGTTCCAGCAGTTTTTGCGACATGTCTTGGGAAATGTCTCCTAGGTCCTATATTAAATTATAAATGATTTGATTTGCATGCTACAGACTCCCACAGTCCATGGCTTTTACAGTTCCTCCAATTCCGTGGGGCACTCGAAGTCACTCGCCACCTGCGAGGTGCTCAACGAACACCGCGTCAAGGACGTCGGGCCCCCCTTTTTTGAGACTGCGGGCGGCTGGAGGTGGCAAGAAGACTCACGACTTGAGACGGAGTTGCTTTATCAGGATGTTTTGCTTGGTTCTCCTTAGAGAACTCATCATGCCTCAATGCAGTTGTTTGCTTGTGCTTTGGCAGCTGGGTCCTTGGCAGCTAGGTTGAAAAAGAGAAGCCTGAGACCACTCCATAGTAGTTAGCTCCAGGCAAACAGTGCGAAGTGTCCACTAAGCTGTACGTCATTGAGGGGGAAGAAACACGTGGGGATGCACTTGGTGGCTCAAGATGTTTGGCTCAAGCCACTCAATTCGGTAGCCTTTTTCAACAGTAAGACTGGTGGGCAGAATTTCGACCAGTCTCCAGATGGAGTCCTTGCCCGCCAGGGAGGCTGAATTGACCCGGGAGGTGCCACAGCTCTTAGAAACGATGAACCGAACCTCTCAAGAGGTGAACCTTTACGAGCGGAAGGCCAGTGAAGCACAGGAGAGGTACCGAAAGCTTCTGGGACAGTGGAGCCGCGTTTACGAGGAGCTGCGGTCCCACTATGGCAGCTCCATCGACCGGGTGAAGCCCTACTTCGAGGCCACCGCGACCTTCCGCTCGGCCTCGGACAAGGTGCAGGGCGTGGTGAGGGAGTTCTCGGCGGCGGCCTCTCAGTACAGCAGCGCCAAGGCCGAGCTCCGCAGCATCGAGACGAAGTTGGCCTATGGGGCGCACAAGGTGCCCAGATTTGGTTTACAGGGTGACTGATTTGTTCTCCTTTCCATACATAGTTCCCTTCTGGAAAAGATGGTTTTGTTTTCTCATTTTCTCACGGTTCCTGAAAACGCCACTCCAAGGTGCGCTTGGATGGGGATCAACAAGATGGTTTGTCGCGAGCCACGGTGCGAGTCCTGAAGTGCCGACAGGAGCGGGACCGGCGCGAGCAAGACTATGCGGAGAGCCTTCGGGACTACGAGGAGGCCAAGCAAAGCCTAGAACGGTGGCGCTTGCAGTTGGGAGATGCTTTGATCAAACGCTACGAGCCAGTCTTCAAGCAGCTGCAGCAGCACCAAAGCACCCTTGCAGCTGAACGACAGCGCATCGCTGGTTTCAGCGAGCGAGCGGCTTCAGCCAAGGGGATCTACAATGGAACTTTGGCCGAGCTCGATCGCATCAACGTGGCCGTCCACGAAGCCCGTGCTCGGGCGAAGCAGCTCGACGAGCACCTCGTTTCCAACCTCGACGAGCACCCCGTGGAGGGGGACGAGGCTCCCGAGGTGACGGGTGCCAACGACAGGACGGTGGATCGGACCACAGAGGCTGCAAAGGAGATCTTCACGGAGGACTTGCCTCCGGCAGATTGACCACATGCAGCTGCAGCTGTGATGTGCCTTGCGGCGCACCAATTCACTGCGCTCTCGAGGAGGCGCAAGACGTGTAAAGCTAGGCTCCTCCCAAGGAGAGAGAATGGATAGGGGGAAGCGACTGGAATGGGGTCGCGGAATGCCGCGGATCCCCGAGCAGAGACTGTTGAAAATCATCGTGAATCGAGAGGCATGCTTGGCGTGGACCCATTCGGGGTCTAGTTGTCAGGGTGCATTCATCCAAGGTTTGTATGAACAAGTAAAGAACGCAGTGGCTGGGCGATCCGTTCTGGTGTATCTCCAAATTTTGGGACACAAACAGACGAGCAAAGGGGAGTGTTCAAGTTCAAGTGTTTGATTTGTACTGCCAATGCGGCTTTGTATATGGGGGTTCTAAAGGGTTGACATATTCTGGGACATGCCCTAACCTTGTCCTCATTGAATTCTTGCATAAAGACCCGCTGCTTGTTGCTGCTTCTTCCCTCAGGTGCAGCAGCTTTGTTGGAACCTGCTGGGGGCCAATGCCTCAGAGTGAGTGGAGTGCTGCCATCAGATGAGTCACATGTGGTGATGACATGTGATAAGTGTTCTTTTTTACATCCTATGTGTTTGTTTCTTATTTGGGACCCACACCAAACAGAAAGAGGACGTGACACCTTTCAACACGTTCCATCCGGGGGACGAAGAAAAAGAACACGCACCGCCCACGTGAACGAAGCAGAAGCCCCGAGCCGAACGAGAAGCGGCCTCAGGAGCTCTTAAAAGGCACCGGACAGGATGGCGATCCCAAGCTCAACAAGGTGGGAAAGAGGGACCATTCGGACGAAGGATGCGAAGGGGACGGGAGGGGGGGATGACTAGGGGATAGGCCCCCCCGTCCCGCATGTGCGTTGATCTTCCGTGGTTTCGTGTTGCGGAAGATCGGTGTGTTTTGGTGAGATCATGACGATGTTTTTTCCTTTTCTTTTAGCGAGATTTCGGGTGCAGCTCCGTATGCGCCACAAACAATATTTGATCTGAAGAATTCTGAAGAGAATCCCTAGAATTTATGTGATATTGGCTTGGGTTTGTCCTATTACCTGTAGCAGTCAGTAAACAACTATCACTACTTTTGGGCAAGGCCTTTACTAACCATCATAATCCACTGTCATCAGATGTTACAGGTATTAGACGTATTTAGGATAGACCCCATGTGTGGCACTATTATTCGATAGATCAGTGTTTTTCGTCGTTCGGTGTTGTTGGCCGCCCGTTTCGCGCAGTGCAGGGGGTGAGTTTCATCCGAATCGGCCCCCGATGATTGCAAGTCTGATGTTGGAACATGGGTGACCTTCCTTGTAAGTCACTCTGTTGGTCGTGAAAAAAGACAGGCACGACAAATGGTTCATGCCCTTGAAGATGGGCTTGGCCGGGGCAGAGTGAAGGGACAAAGATTTTTGCTTCAGACTTGGTTCGCAGATTGGACAACAGATCTAAAATGAACAGCTGCAAGACGTTTGTTGTTTCTTTGGTCCAATTGTAATCATTGCCCGAAGTGGCCCGTTCTCTCAGACAGAGAAGTGTATCAAGAAAAGTTTGTTGATCTCAAAGCCAGCATGTTGCTATTTCCCTGGCAGATTCTGCAGGATGTGCAGTTTGACTTTCACCAAGCCATGTCCTCCAGCAACGATGACGTGGGCATGTGGGAGTCCTTCCACGAGGTCAGGGTATTGCCAAACCAAGTTCAACATCTTGCACAGACACCCTGACACTGCCTTGCATTCTGTGCTTTTTGACCTCCTTTGCAATTGAGAGTCACGGAAGTTGCAGATTGCCAACTCATGAATCTATGACGGATATGTGCATAATTAACAGTGTATATATATATTATATGATATGTTTCTACAATAATGGACAGTTCTTTTTTGCCTACAATTTCCAGCAAGCAGAATGGAATGAATTAATCAGTTGAACTAGTTGAACTACTTCCTATGTCATATACTGTTGCATATTACATATTGTTATACTATTGCATATATATACACTGTGCAGACACAGTGCACACAAAAAAAGACAAATATATTTGTATGACGTTGCCCCTAAAATGCAAGGGAGTCGTTTCTGGGGCGACGTGTCCACCGGTCCTTTGCTCCTCAGCTCCTGTCCAACGCTGGGCGCACGGCCAAGCTGGGGGGCCCGTGGCGTCCACGTGACCCTGTCGGTGGTTCCGCATGTGAGAAAAATGGGCATGCTGTATTTGTGGGAAGATTGTGCGAGTAGGAAAAGCTATAAAAGCTAGGCATATTGATGTTGACGTAATGTTCGCTTTGTTTCATCCTGCATGGGCTGGTTTTGCGTTGGGAGTGGCCCGTGGCGAGTGAACGTCAAAAATCCATTGCAACAAACAGGCTCATGATGGCTCATCCGAACTGAGCCGTGACAGAACTGCCGGGCAGCTGGTTGGCAGCTCCGTTGGCTTGTCACAGTGTGATTCCCAGTTTGTCCTGAGGTTCGTCCACCGCTTGCGCACCTTACCAGTGCTCACCGCAATCGAGAAGGTGAGAAAGACACTTCTCTGTGGGGAATGGTGGGTGATATGGGCAGTGGGCGCACAGAAGCTGGAAGGGGCATGGAAGGGCAGAACACGCTGGGAATTGGTCTGAATACTTGTGGACAAATCCACTTTCCTTTGGCTAACGTGTTCATGTTGCAATTGTGACACTGGAGAACATGATATGATGAACACTTGGGAAATTTGAGAAATGTGCTCACTCAAGACAGCACCAAACCGCCTGAATGTCAGCAGAGAAGTCAAGACATTGTGTAAGGGACTCTTTGAGCGTGAGACTTTTTGCACGATTAATCATGAAAAGTCTTCGAATGGCCCATTGCCAGCCTTTAAGTGATGCCTGTCATCAGCTGCCAGTGAGATGATAGCCACACATGTCACAAACGTCTCTTCTTTGTTCAATCTACCGTAGTTATTTTGATCGTGTCATTGGCCTCCAATCGTGCTTTTGCTGGGAAGGGGCTATTGAGCTAAGCTCAAATTCTAAAAGGAGAGCTCCAAAGGAACAACAGTTGAGTTTCTTAATCTAATCAGTCCAGTTGGTGTGAAGCAGCTGTGCATTCCGCCCATTCGGTCTTTGCGCTGTACCTGTTTGGATTCTCATCACCACCCCAACTGGACACTAGTAACAAGACGCTACTAGTAGCTCCCGGCACTACCACTAGGAACAAGAGGACGCTACTGGCAGCAAGGTGCATCGCTACTAGTAGCAAGGACGCTACTAGTAGTGCTACTATTTAGCAGAAGGTGTTCCCCTTCCAAACATTGAAGCCTCTAGACCCAAACGATCCCAACAGGCACAGCTGGCAGAGCCGGTGGTCTCAGTGGGACCGGGTTCACTGGACGGTCGGTTTCGCAGGACCTGCGAGTCAGTCTTTAAACTGTATATCTCTTGATTTGTCAACCCCTCGAATAAAGAGGCTGTTCAATCCATGTCAATTGTACTTCTTTTCATCAAGAGCCTACATGGAATTCTTTTGGACCAAGTCTTTAAGTCTGAGGAAGGCCATGTGGCGCCATGTAGCGACCATCACAGTCATCAAAACCATGGGATCTGATCCAGAATGGAAGCATTTCGGGGGTCGGTGTTTTATGTCATATTCTGTCCAACAACCAGTCCATCGGCGAATGCTGAAGGTTCAATGAGACCCTGGAGCAAGCAGCGGCTGCAATGGAGGCTGCCCGGTGAGCTGCGCGGTGTGATTGCTTCCTTTGCCAGTAAGGATGTGCAGTGAAATCATCCAACTCTGATGTGCCTCGAGGTACGCTGTGCGTGTCAGTAGATTTTGAGTTCTATGGCTGGTATGCATTTGGAAGAGCAATCAGCCTGCCAGTCATGATGGTAATCAAGTCCTTTTGGCATTACTTGGGGTGGATTGCTGCTTTATGCATTGGACATGTTCAGTTGTTTGGGCTTTACAGGAATGCATTGTTTTCTGCCCAGGTCCCTCATCACCAAATTCCATGCTTTAGAAAGTTGATAAAAACCCAATGGCATTAGTGAGTTATGGAGCGAGTACCCTACGGTTTGTTCTGGCACCTTGTGCTTTGGACCTGCAGATTCTGGGTGATTCTTTTAATATGTTAGATCAAGCAAACAGCACCAACCCACAGGTCACACACACACACACACTTTGTTTGCAAACAATGTTCCTGTACAAACGAACCTGTTCAAAGATAATGGGTTGATTTCATGTTTGTAATAGATAGATAGATAGATAGATAGACGGATAGACATATCTAAAGAGATATAGAGATAAGGATAGAGATATAGATCTATAGATAGATCCATAGATACATAGATAGATACGCGTAGCTAGACTGATTGATTAGATAGAGAGATCTAATGGCAAACTTATGTTCGGGTTTGGAGGAGTTTACCCGGAGTCTTGCGATGAATGACCTCGCAATAGCTGGTTGGGCATTTGCAGGCCACACGGCTTTTGGTGGAAGGGCACTTTCAGGAGATGCAGGAGATTAGTGGATGGTGCACCAGGGTGGCTGGAAGCGGCAGATCGGTGACGGCCGAACACATGGAGATCGGTCCAAAAGAATGGCACCGTCCGGATTCACCTACAGATGATTAGACAAAGTTTGGTGTGGATCTGCCAAGGGTCAGCCTTGAGGGCTTTCAGGCTGAGTGTTTGCAGGATATTTTAGCATATCTTAGCATGAAAGGCAGACCTTGAGAGCTGACAAAATCTCAGGATGATTCATGCTTACTTGATGATGACTCCGACTCCAGCACTTCTAATCTTCAACCTTTTTGCCACCCAGGGTGATGTTGTTTCCACATGTTTCCACATGTTTCCACATGCCCCATTCTTCCTCAAGTCCTCGCATTTGTCCCCGTCTACCTGTTCTGGTGCAGGACTACCTCTTCTCACAGGAGGGCAACACGCGCTCCTTTAATGCCGGGAGACCGGCGGGTTTGGGATTGGCTTCGGCATTGGGACATGCACGAAAACACGCTCCTCAAAGCAAACATGAGAGTGAGATTGGTGGGATTCTGATATTGTTAGACTCCAGAGTCACCATCGATGTGAAACATGAAGTATTTAACCATGCTTGTCAGTTTCATGACATCAGACTGTTAATTAATTTAGGCCGTGTGTTTGCAAGGCCTAGAGCAACCGCAGTGGCCCGACGGCCCGACCCCCAAAAAAGGGATCGGAGGAAGTCTCGCAGGAGAGTGACCCTTGAACCAGATCGGTGAGGCAGAAGAGACGTTCGGCCAAAGCATTCGGCTCAAAGGATCCTTGAAAAGGATCTCGTGTGAGCGCTAAAAAGGTCGAATTAAGCACCTGAGAATCACATGTCCATAAGCATGGGATCGCAGACGATGAGAGGTCCCATCCAAAGATCCAACTCGCAACTTGATAGGCTCAGAAGCGTGGTGTTTCTTCCACCAATTTCCAGCGTCATTCACCTTCCAGGCACGTGAGAACAGACGCATCAGCCGCCATGAAGCTTTGGATGCTCAGACTTGGCTTTCTGCCCTTGGTGGCTGCCGACTTCGGCAACTGGCACCTTGGGACGGTAGCGGGTCCTTGGGTCCGGTAGGGAGGGGAAACCCCTGCAAAGAAGAAGACAACCTGTCCAGGTGAAAGGTCAAGGATTGGTTTTGGTTTAATCATGTTGATGGTCAGAACCTCAGTCGGACTAGCTACGATGCCAATCCTGAAAAAAGGTTGGTCCTTTGAAGAGGCTTGGCGGGGCCGACCGTTCCACTTCCATTCTTCCTCACTTAGGTCCCCTAGCTCCCCAACTCCATGATTGAAATGAACAGTCACTGGTTTCGCAATGTGTTTCGTTCGGCTTTTTGTTTGATCCATGTTTTGCTGTCGTCTCCTCCAGTCCTGCCGGTTTTGACCACCGGTGATCATCGAAGAAAGGTCCCACGACCCAAAACCGGTGGCTTTGGGTGCTTGGACACCCCGTTCTGAAGGCACGGACACCCGTTCCTTTCTGCTGTCCAAACGGGTCTGCGTGGGCATCAGCCTGCACCATCAAATCTGATGGCTCAGGTCCCTGGTGCTTTTGGAAGAGGCGGTGCAAACACGTGGTGCAGCGTGCTTGGATGGTTCACCTGCAGGTGGGGTGGCTACGCCATGCTGCGCCGATCGGTCGTGGCAGTGGACTGATTCACCCTGGCAAAGCTCCTAGTAGTTAGTAGCGTCCTTTGCTCCTAGTAGAAAGGCCAGGAGACCCTAGTAGTGTCCGATCGCCCCTAGTGGCGATGCCCTGACCGCTCCGTTCGTATCGTCCAAGAGATTTATGAAGCTGCGCTATGGAGTTCACCAAGCATGGCACACTTAAACATGACTAACTCCCTTGGTATCATGGCCAACTACGGGTTTTGGCCGCAAAGATACATGTATTGAATAGACCGATGCCTGGTAGAGAAGAACACTGCGAACACTACTGTATATGGGACGGCACCGAGAGCTTGACGTTCTATACAACTCAGAAGGACAAAACGTTCTAGTAGGTTCAGATGAGATAGGACTGGTGAGCCCAAAGGAGTTGGGAGTTCACAAGCACAAGTATCATCTCCCCAAGCAAGTCTAAATCTGAAATTCGATGCCTTCCAGGCTACTGGATTGAGCATGGCTGGGGCAGCGGTGCTAAACGTTGGATCATCCACTTTCAGGGCGGCGGCTGGTGTGGCTTGGACACCATCGCGCCACGGACGGGCCGGGCTAGAGAACCGGAATTCAACCGAATCCACTCCGCGGAGTGATGTTCATCAGCAAAGCATGGCATAAATGATAGAGAACATGATGTTCATCCAGCAACCACCTATTTTATTGGGGTGAGGGATGGTGAGGGGGTTAGGGTACTGGAGTTGTTTTGGTGCCTTTCTTTTCGGGTGGGACAGAGGTGTCATGGAGGTGCTTGAGAGATTAGCCGCATGACCCAGCGGCCCTGTGTCAGTGGTGGTAGAATTGCTGGCCGAAATGATGTTATCCCAACAACTTTGTTCCAATCTTGTTTGCAACGGGCCAAGTCAGGCTTGAGCTGCTGCTGGACAGCTATTAGATGGTCCCCAAAGTCTTGGCGGTTGTCTCAACAGGGCCTCATCCTTCAGTTGGAGGGTGGCTCCCACTCATAAAGATTCCCGCCAAGCACAATATAAATCTATGATCCCATGGCTTGGCGCCTTGATGACCCTCAGGGCTTGCTATGAGTGTTCTCGTTGTGAGACTAGATCAAAAGCAGATGTTGAATCAACAGCAGCAACCACTCTCCGGTGGCTCCAACGGAATGAGTCGTTCATCCGACAGTCTGGGAGGATGCCGTTCAACATCCCGTGTTGAGGTATCAGCTATGAGGACTGCTTGGCACGTTCGAAGACCAGCTTGGGCAGTAGCCTCAACTTCACCGCAGCCGCTTGGTTTCATCGCGACCCTAGAAATGGTTCCAGGTTCTATACTAGACAAGGGAACTAGCTCCAAGTGGATGAAACTTCAGCCAGAAAATATGTTGAAACGACTTGTCAGCTAGAGCTGAAAGGTCTTTGGTTCCTTGAAGTTCCTTGCATGCTTCCCAGTTGGGCTCCTTGGTGCTCCCCATCGCAATCCGTGCACACATCCGTCCAGCAGTGGGAGCTGTTCACATCGACCCGGCTGTGTCCGATGGAACCTATGCATGGACTCAAAGTAGGTGTGGTGCAACCCCCTACATGTCGTTTCAATTGGATGTACCATTTTTGTAACCACCAAACTTGGGGATTGCACCATCTACTCTGAAACCCCTAAACACGCAAATGGTGTTTGGCGCAAGCCACCCTACTAGTAGCAAATATTCCTGAGAGGAAGCTCGCTGCAAAGACGTGTTTTCTGGAAAAAACGGCTGCAAGAGTTTAGGGGAAGGGAGCCCAAACCATGCCAAACCGTATGCTAAACTTGAGAATCGATGTTTCCATGGGCATCTCAGTGCTTCGGATGTGTGCCAAACCGTTTGCCGAGGAGAAGAGCAAAACCTTGGAGTACAGCGATGGTGGTGTGCACGGATATCTCTCCAATCAACCGGAGGCCATCCACATGGCACGACCGGGGTGAGTTCGCAAGGGCCATGCGCCACCATGAAGCAGCCGGCCGGAACTCGTGAGTCGTCGCTGCGCAGCTACGTCAGGTGAATCCTGACTTCTACAACTGGAATAAGGTGTTTGCCCTTTACTGCGATGGCAGCAGCCGAAACTCCGAAGTCGAAGGCCCGTGAGTGTTGGTGCGGAGCAGCTGGCTGCTGTTGTAACAGAGACATTAGAGCCTATGCTATTGCTATGTCTTGGAAACCGGGATGGGACCTACCATGTTGATTATCAGGCACTTGCTGAATGTTCATGATCCTCCAGGTCAGCTCATCTCACCATCCAACATATTCTTGCACAGATCCCAGAACCAACCAACATCAAATCATAGTCTCCCATTGCCCCCAGTGACCACTGTGACCACCTCCGCGCCCCGCCGGTGGTTCGCCGGTGCGTCTCAGGGCCTGTGGTGGTGGGACAGAAGGAGGTGCTCTATTTCCGCGGGCATCGGATTCTCATGGCCACCATGGAGAGCCTCATGGAGACCATGGGCCGCTCGGAGAGCGATGCAAGATCGAACTGGAGGGTCTATGAAGATATGCAGTGATGCTCAGAGCATAAACGGAATGGATATTTGGTGGTTGTGAGCTTGGGAGAATGAGTAGGCCTCCACAAACACGTCTAACGTCTCGTCATTGATAAGTAGTGTATGACAGCATACTATACCTAGAACCTCCAACAACCACAAATTTCTGCCTCGAGACAAGTCTGCCTCGTTTGCAAAAGTATGCCTCGTTTGCAAAAAAGTGCTCGTTTATGTTTTGTCATGTTTCGTCTCACCCTCCACAACAACCCACAACATGCACAATCACACTTTGTCCTGGGCCTTGCACACAGTCATCAGCCGGGTAGCCCAGCTGGATCCGAACGCTTGGAAGCTTTCCGGGAAGCTTTCTGCCATTGAAAGGCATATTCAATCAACACCTTTTTCAGTGTTGCCACAATGGCCAAACTGTGGGTCCGGCGTTCAGCTCTCGCCACTCTCCCAATAAAATCTTCATCTGACCAACAGGCCAGAGCACCCAAACTTAATACAAACCGGCACTCAGGATCCTCTAAAGGATATCGAAGGTCAAGCCTTATGTGAAACACATGAGTTGGGAAGGTCTTTGCACACCACATCACCGCTAAGTCTTACAGTACATTAGTGCTTCTATGTGGCACGCAGTGTTGCATCATGTGTACTTTTGGGCGAAGATAGTAGAGGCTCCAATTCTGTTGCTTGCTCAGGTAGGCCATGGCTCCATAAGCCTCCTATTAGCAGAGCAAGCATTGATTTGGAGATTGGCGACAACAATCAGCTTTTGTAAGCCTAGTTTGTAGGATTGGCGACAACAAGGAAAGCTTACATGCTTCTTGAGCAAGGTTCTGTCATAGACCACCCATCTGCCACAGCTTGCTCTGCTTCTTGGCGGGTCAGCCAAAGCTTGCCATAACATGCACGGAAAAAGCGGTTGCTAACGTGCAGGCTCCATTTGACCACTCTGAAAAGATCTTGGCAATTGTCCTAAGCTTTAGCACGTGTCCAACAGGCGAATGGAATGGAAGAGCCAATGCCCACTAGAACTGCAAGAATAGAAAGGTTTACTGGTATTTCCAAGCAGGTATCAGGAACCATGTCAGCTGTCACCTGTTCAAGGACATCCTCCAACCATCTAGCTATCAACGAGGCATCACTTCCCTTTCCAAGGCCACGCGGATAGTCTTGAAGCCTGAGGGGTCATGAAACATGTTTGAGGCCTGTTGTAAGCTTAGTCGACAATGCCACCAAGAAAGGCTTACTGTCCTCCGAGTAACGATGTGATTTTGAGTTCAGACTT